GAATTCTGGGAGTTGAAGTCCACTCATCTTAAAGGGGCCAAGTTTGGACAACACTGCCTTAAAGCTTTGTGTTGCATGTCGGTCACATTCAAAACGGGAGAAGCCAGAGCCCATTTGGGGAACTGGTATCAACTTTTAACAGCTGGAATGGGTCCCTTAAGTATCTGCAAGACTTAGAATCTCTGAAGAGGCAAGAAAGGACCCAATCTTCAACCCGCTCATTCTAGGATGCTGTGGGAGCTGCAGAAGGAATGCTTATGTGTAACACTTTGCTTCTTGGCCAGATTTTTTTGCATTCCTGTCCCTTTTTCTCTGCAACTGCCAGGCGACAGTCTCCCTCCCAGTAACTGCTTGTTGATTACTTCAGCGCTTGCTTCCAAGCCGTTTCTTATTCCTCAACCTCTCCCATCTTTTAGCGGCTTGAGGGGGGGGGGGGGAAACCCAACCTAAATTGTAAAGGAATATTTGTATAAATATTCCTGAGTTTATTCGTCTGAAATCTGGCAGTCTTGATCCCCACAAGGAAAACTTTGCCTTCACCTTTCATTCAGTTTTGCCAAGAATGAAAATAATTATCAACCATGTGTTTGTATGCATCTAGTATAACAACTCCTGCACCTAATTTGTCAGAACACAGGAAAATCTTATCCCCTTCCTATTTCAACAATTTGTTCTCTCTCTCACACACACACACGCACGCACATTCATGCATACATCTTTTGGACAATGATAGAACTGGGATTTCTGGACCTCCCAATCATTAGAATAGTTGAGCTGCACTGAAATAATATGAAATAAAACAAATAAAAAATAAGTTTATTATAGAAAAGTTCCAAAATGCACTTGAAGCATTCAGGGCTTGTTTTATAGCACAGGCCTCACACAAAATTCAAGGGAAGTCATTCCCTAACAACTATGATTAGATAACATACCATTGCAAATGAACAACAAAAACAAAAAAATCAAATTAAATCAATGTGACATAGCTTCCAACACTTTAAACTTTACTGCTAATGACTTTTACTCAGAAGCGTCTTTGATTTCAGTTGAACTCCTTTCCAAGAAGTCTAGCAACTCAACTGACATTAGTAGTATTTATTTCTAGGTAGCAGAATAGCTTATAGTCTTGATAGAATATTGAGAATTGCAATTTTTTTTTAAAGCTAGTTTAGAATGAACAAGCCATGATTGGAATCAAATGCATCATGACCCCAATGCGCGACTTATATAATTTGTGTTCTTTGAATAACAACATTGTAATGTATGTGACTTTACCCCCAATTTCCCCCTGTGGATGGCATGGTACCTATCCAAAACCTTACACACACACACACACACACATACACACACACATACACAGATATATTCCCAACAGAAATCTTCAAAAAAATGGAGAAGAGGACAGTACCTAGTCAACTTGATATTGAACACTGGATAAGTTCAAGATAATTAATTGAAGCAAAAAAAAAAACAACCCTGTGATCAGAATGAGTGCAGTGTGATAACACAGAT